ACTTCCAAGATGAAAGAAGACCATGTCATAATTGTTTTTTTACCGAATGCCCTCTAAAGTTTTCACATCCATGAGAAATTTTGGGAAGTGAAGTTAACATATGATTAAATCTTTCCAACACTTTGTTTTTCATTCACTGAATGTGCCTTGCTTTAGTTTCTGATCTTAATCAGTTGGCTCTACAATGAACATCCACGAAGGACCTCGATCTCTCCAGAATTCGTCCTCATATCTGCCAATAGAAACAAGGATAAGTCAGTCGGAACAGGCTCTTGTTTCCCCATTTTCACGAGCACTTGCATACATTTCTCTTTGACAGCTCAAGAGAAAGTGTCCTCGGCATCATTTGAAGGTGGATTGATGTCAAAGCGCACTGTTTCTTGATTTGATTTATCGTATGCAATTATTAGACACTGCACACATATGAACGAGAAAGTTTTTGCTCCAATCAGCCGGCGCTGGAATATATAAGCTTAGCTTCCCAAGGGGTCCAAAAGAGTGCATGATGATTTTGCTCAAGCCTAATCAGCAGCCGAACGCCCTGCACTTTCAATGACTAAAAACATTGCACCCAAGAAATGTCTCGTTAACCTGTCAATCGTGAGGCTCTTATATCATATCTTTACTGCGCCTACCTTATTTTAGAAAAATTGCTCGTGTGATCGTTAAATCAACCTATTTTAGATTTACTTTTAAGTCTCAAAGGTTAGGATGCAAGATTTTGAACTTATTAAGATCATATCAGCGTATTAAGATCAAGATATCTCGTTAGTTCTAACTAGTGCTATTAGATGAGAAAGGTTTAGATGGACCAAGGACAAGAGACATGATCGTCGCATGACCAGCGAGGTCCACCACCAAATGGGATAACGCGGGATCATACGGTCCGGATGGTCGATTGCCGTTCGATCCTTAACACGCGCATGTACTCGTGTCCGTCGGAAGATGCCCACGTGTCCGGTGCACATGGTCTCGGTCGAGCCAGCTCGGAAGTTTCGTTTGGGCAGCCACCTAACCCAACAATGATAGAGCTGAAGTGTCGAAGGCGGCCATGGACCACAGAGGAGCCAACCTGTGACCAGCACAGGGTCATGCACACTCCCCACGCGCTCAGCCCGTGCCTGCCTGAGTCCACCCAACTTCTCTTCCTCCCTATAAAAGCCACCACCATTGGTCTCCCAAGTCAATTGGTTCGAACCCACAAAATCCATTTTTGCTGCTTTTCCATAGAGAGAGACAGAGAGACAGAGCAAAATGCCTCCCATTTCAATGCCGGCCATCGACTCCGACGACTGGTGGAAGAAGCAAGTCGATGCAGATGACGACGACGACGATGACGATGATGGAGGCGACTGTGCACCGGCTGCTCTCGCAGAAGGCGACGGGGACGACGACGACGACGGGGGTGGCTATGACTATGCTCCTGCTGCATGAGACTTTTCATCGTGATTATTGATTATTGTCATTTCTGCTATGTCCACATTTGGGTAAAGTTTGTAATTCTAGCTCGATTATTTTTTATCTATTTATGCGGGAGATTATTCTTCTAGCTGATGAAGTGTTTGAGGTTATAGTGAGAAGAGCTCAATTCATTATCGGATAATCTTATGTTATTTTGTTTAGTGAGCTAAAATTAGATATCTAGCCTCTCGTGTTCCTTCCTTTAAATTAATGACTAGTAAAAGAATTCAAGATGGGCACATGGACCGTTGAGTTTGGTCTTGCGATGCATGGCTTGTGAGGAGATCTGCCAGCTATATTTCGTGCTTCAAAGATATAAAATACACCTCTCAAAAAGGGGTTTAATAATAATGTTATTTAGTATTTTACTATTCTTTTTTCTTCTCTTAATTGAAGAAATAATTGGAAAATAAAACGGCAAGTACAAAAATGAGTAATAACCCCCGGTAGAGACTGGTGCAATTCAATCCAACATTTTGTTTGTTCATGTTTGATTGCGTCGCAGCTCTATAGTTTATATTAAGTTTATCATTGGATGAACTGCATTGCCGATATTAACCCTATAATAGAAACGGTAGGTACAACTAACCATCGCACCATAAAAACTGGATAGGTTCGATATGTGGTCATTGGGTCCTCCTAAAAAGATCTACTAAATTCACCGAGTCGTTTCAAAGGGTCAAAACGGCCAGTTATTAATGGAATCCCTTGTCGACTCTTTCTAAAATATTCGTTTGGACGAGGGCTTTCAATAAAAAAAAATACAATAATCACGTGGGAAACACGTATAAACGTATTCTCTATTTGTAAGATGTCGGCAACTTGTTTTGTTTATGCATGTAAAGCATTGGTGGATGTAAAGGCAACTATAGATCATCAAGCACTAAGGGTGATTTCATTTCATTATATATCAACTATTTATAAATAAATAAAAATCCCCCAAACGATGGCTTGAATAAACGAAATATTTTTTCATGACTAATGAAATTATTTGGGAGGCATAAATTATAGTGATAACTAAAAAATGGGCGATTGACTAATCGTTTCTACAAACAATTATTTTTAAGATCATATTTTTTAAATCATTGATTCTCTACGAAACAAATAAACTCTATATTTAACAAGAGTGTCCATTGCACGTGCTACATGGTTCTAGAAAGTTGGGAATAACCATATTTAATAAAGTTATCGATATTGATTTTGCACATAACTAGCAGCGAAATATCTATAAAAAAAAAACTCAAACTTGTACACTTTTTATCGAAAAATAACCTGAAATAAAAAAGTTATCCAGGAGACCCTAAACTTAATTATTCGAATAAAAAAATACCCGACGTTAGTACAATCGTTAAGTCCGCCGCGAGAATGGAGACGTGGCGTCTCACGTTGTCAAATGACTTCCGTCCAAAAGTTTAGCTTGGCTCCATGTCATTTCAAAACTTCATCGTCTTGAACACACTTATATACCAAAATAATAAATAAATAAGTAAACAAAAGGAACTAACCTAAATTCACTCAGTCTAAAACATCGTCGTTTTGCCGACGTACGTCCCCGACCACGGAAGAAGATAATATAACAGACCTAAAATAAACTAATATGCGAAGAAAAGGAAGGTGAATATGTCAATTTGGCGAGTAAAGTAGAAGGTTTACTCTGTATTAATGTTATTCATCCACTTACAGCTCGCAACACTCTCCATCAACTTCTCATTCTTTTTTTTTTTTTGCTTCATTTTTTCTATTGATGGAAAATCCGTAAATAGGGAGCTAGCGTAATATGGGCATATTTTTGACAGATTTAATGCTTGAGTTTTCTCGCTTTTACCGCAATATGTACATCTCTTTTTGCATATGAAATTTCCTTTCGCAATGAGATTCCGTATCGGTGTCGTTATGGGAATTCAATAAGGCGGTGAAGTTCGATGGATGAAAAGGAATTATCATTCGGAAGTGTCTTTCGAACGAATAGTCGCTTAGGGTCGCCCATGATCTAGATTGCGATGCGAAAAATGTCTGGTGCAAATTAGGGCGAGGCCAAACTTTGAGAGAAAATATTGGGTAAATCTGTCCTTCCGACGTAAGATTGTAGATCAGTCTGCTTATCGTTTGACGCGTGTATAATGAAGGCCAACTCATCAATGTCTAATTGGCAAGTGGGACCCACTGCAACTTTGTACCGACGAAGCCCCTTTCTTCACTGTTCATCTTCCTCGACAGATCCACCAGTTTCGTCCCTAAGTCTTTCTCCATTGTTCATGGGTGACCTTCATGGTCACCGAGGGCTTTGCCTCCGGAGAGGGTCCTGGGTGACCGGCCATCGATAATGGTCGCCCGCCTCTCCAGTTGACGGCGGAGCTAATGCGTTGAACCGGCGACAAGTTTTTGTGTTTTGCCCCTAATTTCCTTTTTATTTTACTTCCTTCTTCCCACATATCAGATTATCTTATTTAGTGACAAGTTTTTGTGTTTTGCTGTAACCAAAAATTGGGTTTACTGTGTAAGAAGGACAGTGGAGGGAGACTTGGGATGAAATGGTGTATTTGTTGGGAAGACGAAGTCAAACGATAAATAGACTGATGTATAATCCTATGTAGGGATGGGTTCACCTAATATTTTCTCAAACTTTGATGGTAAGAGCAAAAGAAGGTTACAAAATGATGAGTCAATCATTGGAATTCCTCTCATTGGCGGTTAAAAAATGATGGGATAATGACACAAATGGTTCATAAACTTTGGCTCAACGTGCAATATGATCTCTAAATTTTTAATTTGTTTCATGTGATTTTTGCATTTTAGCTCAATGTGAAATGTCGTCGCAGAACTTTTATTTTGTTCAATATGATTCTTCAACTTTTGATAAATGTTCGAACTAGTCTCTAAATCATTTGAAAATAACTAATATTTTTAGTTCATGGACAACACTTATCATTTTTATAAAATTAAGAGACTAGTTTGAATAAATAAAAAAAATAAATTAATTAAAAGTTCAAAAATAATATTATATATTAAATTAAAGTTTGAAAACATATTAAATAAAGGGAAAAGACCACCAAAAATCCTAAACTATGCTACCTGTGACACATTTACCCTGAATTTTTTTTTGTGACACCAAAAACCCCAAACTATCTTATACATGTAACATTTACCCCATATGTACTTTAGTCCATGGGCATTTTCGTCTTTTTGCTTTTTCTTTTTTTTTTCCTTTTTTTTTTTTCCTTCCGGCGGGGGCCCTCGCGCCAGTCGGGCGAGGCGCCCTCGCCGAATCGGCCCTCTCCGGAAAGGAAAAAAAAGAAAAAGCAAAAAAGACGAAAATGCCCATGGACTAAAGTACATTGGGGTAAATGTGTCACAAATAACATAATTTGGGGTTTTTGATGTCACAAAAAAAGTTCAGGGTAAATGTGTCACATGTGACATAATTTGGGGTTTTTGGTGGTCTTTCTCTTAAATAAATTAAAAATTCAGAAACTGCGTATGCTACGGCGTCCAATCGATTTTTTATGGCTCAGATTCTTCCATGCCATCGTTCACCAGTTTGCGTACCGCCCACACGTCCAACGAGAAAATGGCCGCTCCGCAGCATCACCACCCCCTCATCGATCGCCGCCGCCGCCGCCGAAGAACATGGCCGCGTCCCAGCTCTCGTCCCGCGCTCTCGCCCCGCTCCCCCCGCCGCGCGTCGCTCCCCGGAGGCCGGGCGCCGCCGCGGCCTCTTTCCCGAGGAAAGGTCCGAGCTCGAGTCGACCGGGCGCGAGCCGCGGCCGAAGGTCGAAGTGGGGTCCCAGGCTCAGCCTGGCGGAGCAGAGCCCGCCGAAACCGGCCGTGGACGTGGAGCGGCTGGTGGGTTTCCTGTACGACGACCTCCCGCACCTGTTCGACGACCAGGGGATCGATCGGACGGCGTACGACGAGCGCGTGAAGTTCAGGGACCCCATAACGAAGCACGACACCATCAGTGGGTACCTGTTCAACATAGCCTTCTTGAAGACCGTGTTCAGGCCTGACTTCCAGTTGCATTGGGTCAAACAGGTTTGGCTGCTCCATCTTGTCAAAGCTGGTTCTGGGTTTGATGAGTGATGTTGAGGTTGAGCTTGTTTGCTTCTTTTTAAAATTTTTGTTTCTGTCTGGGTGATTATCCAGTACTATAATTCTTTGTGGCAATGCAAGTTGATGAATAGTTCCACTAAGATTTTTATCCTTGGATGTTATTTGCAATTTGTCATTCTCATTAGTTGAAGACATTGGCAATAGAATTTGCATTTCAGCTGTAGTGACCAAATATGTAGACCATTTTTTTGGGGCAAAAACATCTTATGAATCTGAGAAGACTCTGCTGGTAACTGTGTAGCTGCTTAAATTTCTTGGTTTTAACTGATTGATATGGAATAGACAGGACCTTACGAGATAACGACTCGTTGGACGATGGTGATGAAGTTAAGGCCACTTCCGTGGAAGCCGGAATTGATCTTTACGGGAATCTCTATCATGGGAATCAACCCGGAGACGGGCAAGTTTTGCAGTCACGTGGTGAGTTCCGATTCAATAGTATAATCATAGAAAATTTTATGGTCCCATGGGTCTCAAGGAGGGATTGCCCATTTAGGACTACTGGGACTCGATCAAGAAGAATGAATACTTCTCTCTGGAAGGTCTATGGGAAGTGTTCAGACAGGTAATGACTCTTAAATTTGTGACATGCCTTTGGGTGCTTGCATGTATTTTTATGCATTCAGCTGTGCTTCTTTGCGCATTGCTAATTTTTTAACTTGTACAGCTCCGGTACTACAAGACTCCTGAGTTGCAATCTCCGAGTTATCAGATATTGAAACGAACTGGAAAATACGAGGTATGTTGTTTGGAAACTATTTTTTAACTACCCATGTCGTGCAAACAAGATGATCTGGTTTTTGTTGCATTTGTTAGGACCTTTGCACTTGTTAGATCAAAGTAGATTAGCTTTGCCGTGTATTATAACATCTTCATAATGCGAGTAAGAGATATCTTGGCATCTAATTGGAAGCATTTCATGCCATTTTATTGCTTTGTGAATCTGGCCATTTTATCAAGCTGATGCATCTTTCCAACTTCAGTGAAGGCGTCAATGTCAAACTAGCTACAGTCGACTAACTGACCCTTCTTTCCACTTTCTTTTTCTTTCCAGTTCCTTTTACGGCTATAGTAGAATTTATTCTTACAATTTTTTGCAGTTGTCTCTTTTCTTATCCTAATCTAGACTATGATCAATTTATGTAGGGCACTTTTTTTGGGTTTATCCCTCCTCACTCTCTGAAAACTTGTTGCCATTTATTTGTGTGCTTACTGAAACCATCTCTTTGTATTCTGATTTCTGATTGCTTACTGTTTACTTGATTGAAGAGTCATGCACTGAGAAACTTTTTTTAATATCTGCTTTGAATTGTTATTAAGCAATACTGCAATCCATAGGTAAGAAAGTATGCGCCATTTTTAGTAGCAGAAACAAGCGGAGACAAGCTGTCTGGATCAAAAGGTTTTAATGACATAGCAGGGTCAGTTGCCTCCACCTATCTAGTTTCTAGCATTAGTTTCTTTTCTTGTACGACAATGCTGATGACTGAATTGATATGCACAGGTACATCTTTGGGAAGAATTCAAAGACGGAGAAAATGAAAATGACTACTCCTGTCTTCACTCAAGCATTTGATAATGAGATGTCTAAAATATCGATTCAATTTGTTCTTCCGCTGGAGAAAGATTTAAGCAGGTTTGGCTATATATGTTTATACAAATGAAATTTCTTAAGGTGTTCTATGCCGAAATTCCCTCTAGCTAGTGAAGCAAATTCAGTATTATCGAGTAATAAAAGTAATAAGATATCTTTTGTGCAGTTTACCTGATCCCAGTCAAGAAACTATAAGCTTGAGACAAGTTGAAGGTGGCATTGCTGCTGTTCTGAAGTTCAGTGGAAAACCTACCGAAGATATTGTTCTCGAGAAAGAGAGAGAACTTCGCTCTAGTCTTATAAGAGATGGGCTTAAAGCAAAGTCGGGTTGTCTGCTTGCGAGATACAATGATCCAGGACGAACGTGGAGCTTTACATTGGTAAGATGATGCCATCATCTCTGGCATACAATTCTATAGGGTTGCCACTTGTGACTTGCAAAAGCTAGTTACAAAGGTGGCGTTGATTTGTCAGTGTATTAGGATAAATATCCTGTTCAGTATTCACTTACAATTTCTGGGGGTTGCTTGTACTTGCAGAGAAATGAAGTGCTGATATGGCTTGAGGAATTTGAGTTGGACTAGTATATGATGTAGTGAGCAGTGACTCCGGCAATTCTTTGATGCACTGTCTTTGCAGATGTAACTTATTAGCTATCTTGAATCTTATCAAACTCGGCCAGTGAATTTTGCGCAGTAGCATAGCCCAAGACCATGTTCCTATCGGCATCCAACAAGTCTAGTATTTGTATATTGGCTCAGATAAAGAATAGGAATCCTGCGGCTGCAGGCTGCTGTTTATACTTTGAAATCCTTCAACGAGAAAGAGAGACGGTGCATACATGATTGTTACCTTAGGGATTTGAGGATAGCTATTCATGTGAACTCCATTTGTTGTTCCTGTAATCAGTATGCTATGTCTCCTTGTGTTTATTGAGTTTCAACGATGAGATGTCCAAGGGTATTGGATTGATCAGCGTTTCATCCCCACCTGCACGCGAAGGTGTAGAATGGAAAAACCATGACAGGATGCATATCACGACGTAAACGGGTATGCATTTATCAGAGAAAACCTTATTTTGACACTTTTTTTTCTGGTTGGTTTAGCAGATAAAGGCAACATCCGTAAATCGAATGGAAAGGACCGACACAAAAGGCTTTCTAGGCGGAGCAGGAACCTCCACTTCACTGGCGATGTGAAAAAAGCCCCTAAATTTGAAGCTGCTCAGGAGCTAGATTATAATATATTTTGGCCAAAAGGAGCTAGACTGTGTTGAAGGCAGTATTTTTCGCATAAATTAGGTTCCGAGATCCAGTCGAGGTCTTAAATTTTGAACAAAATGACTAATAGAACCAAATATAAGCCCCGAATTTGCGGTCGACGCCCCATTACATAACCAGGGTCAGCGATGGCATGCTTAACTTGTAGAGGAAAATTGAAGAGATCAATTCAGTTGACTTGGATGATTCAATCTAAGCTTGTTGTCTGTTTTAGGCATCTAACGGGTTCAGAATTAATCTCATGTGGGTTGAGCAACAGGATAAGTGGCAAATTGAAATCTCAAGCAAGATCAAAAAGTTCCTGTCGTGTCCCAAGTTTTGAAGTTAAATATGGATCCCCTGAACTTTCGGGGCGTCCCTTCTAGTTCTTAAACCTTGACTCCAACCTTGATGATGCTTAAACTTTGATAAGCTGTACGAGAACTTTCTATCGTAAGAGTTCCATTACAAATCAGTCATAGTAAAATCTTCAACCTCTACTTGTCACGACCTAATCTTCAAGGGCCGCCTCGGGAAGTAGGTTTAGAGATACTTTATTGGACTCTCCCTAAGTCCATACCTTGTGTGACATTGGTTGTTTAAATTTGTTTGTTCAATAGGAGTCGTCACTAGCCACGATTAAAGATTGGCTAGAAATCCTAATCGAGATGCGAGAGTGTCACCTCGAAAACATACGCAACCAAAGATTCTTAGGGATCGGAGACTTGATTACATTAATTTTTTTAACTAGTGCCCTTTTGATACCTAAACTTGACTATTTACTAACCAAAATGTCACAACAATCTTTTACTAATTGAGAATTTTCATTTTTCATTCTAACCATTCTAAAAAGGGAAAACAACAATCAATGAATTTAAAGTACGCAATCAAATGAAATCAAAATGAAAGTGTTCAAACAGCGACCTAGTATCGTCTCTAAAAAAACAATAAAAAATCCCTAAGGTAAAGCCCTAAAGGCTTATTCAATTTTGGAATTAAATTTTATTTAAACCTAAAGTGTTTATTAAAAAAAACTAAGCCAAGGGAATTCTACATTTTTTTTTACCTTTTCTCACATTTTTTATTTTTCTGAATTTTCTGAATTTTTTTTTAATTTTTTTTAATTTTTTTGGGGAAATGGATTTCGGACTGGGTCAGGGGAAACCGGTCTGATTTCCTAGTCTGACCCGGACCCAGAAGGCCCAAAGTTGGGTCTAAATTCGGACTGGCCCAATCCGGATAAAACCGAATTATCAAATTTCATCTGACCCAATATTATCTCAGCCCACATCTTTCTCTATCTGGCCCAGCTTATTCTCTTAGCCCACGACATCTTTGATTCAGCCCAATTTGCAACCTGATACGAATCTTTCATTTCCAGATTTTATTTATTTATTTATTATTTTTTTTTCTATTTTCTTTTCTTTATTCTGGTCTTCTTCTTCGATGGTCTTCTTCCCCATGGTCTTCTTCTTCCTTACGTGATTTCCTGCCCCGAGAGCTCACCATCAGGATTCCAACTTTGAGCTTCACCGGAGCAACTATTCCTCCAGTCATCAACGTTTACCGGCTACTTACTCAAGCAACCTACTACTAACTCGCTTTCGCCCACCACCAATCCTAGCCATTATTAGATCGCCGGCTGTTTTTTCCGATCACTGTTCCGACTATCCAAAACCTTTACCGACGGCCATTTTCATTCATCAACTAATAATCCACAAGCAGTAGCAATAAGGGCCTATTTGGCAATTTGCCAAATAGTGATTGATTCTGTTCGTTTGTTCCCAGAATCAATTTGGGAATAAAAATCCGTTTATTAAATTTTTTGTGCCCAGGCACAATTTTGCAAAAAATTGTGCTCAGAATCAATTTTGGAACAGAATCAAGAATAAAAAAAAGTAACTTCTTGATTATGGAATAATTTTTTCAGAACTGATTCTTCTAGATTTTTTTTATTTTTTTGGTTGTTGTTGTTCTTCGGCCCCGCCACCCGTTGGCCACCGGCCACAGACCAGGGCCGGCGAGGGTCGCCCTCGCTGCCTGGGTGAGGGCGGCTCGCGGCCTTGCCCAGCCAAGGCGAGGCCGACCTCACCGTCGCCACCCAGGTCCGTCGCCTGGGTGGCGAAGGCGAGGGCGGCGGCGAGGGCCGTGATGCCCTTGCCGGCCCTGGCCTGTGGCCGGTCGCCGGCACCGGCGGCCGGCCATGGCCAAGAAAGGAAGGGGAAAGAAAGAAAAAAAAAAGAAAAAAGAAAAAAAAGAAATAAATATTAAAAAATATAAATATTATTAATAAAAATTTATGTTCTTTTTCTATTCTAAGAATAAAAATTTTGAGCGGTTACCAAACGCCTTTAAATGCTTTGAAATTATTTCTGGGCATATAATAAAAAAGAACTATTTCTATCTAGAATCAGATTTTGGACACGGAACGATTGCCATGCGCAGCCTAAATGTACACATACATGGCAGAGAAAGGGAAAAGAGGAAGCTAACACGGACGGACTATAACCGTAGGCTCCTTCGGCATGTAAAATGGATCTTCAGCGAAGGTTTCGTTCATGGCCGATTCATGATGTGCAAGTGTCATAAAAAAAAAAAAAAATCCGGCATCAGCTTCAGTTCAACAATTAACGGTGCAAATATGAATAAGATTCACATCGAAAAGCTTTCACACAATCGTTCTCAAATCAGTTTTAATATTCTCTCAAGCAAATCGTCAAACAAGTAGCATGCGACTCAAGAAATGAGATTCCAATTTGATTCCGATACGATTCTCGATCGAGAAATGATGTGTAGGTGCCTAAATCATGTTATTCTACAACAAAGATGCCTTATTCTATCAGATTTTTAGCACAAACATGGCGATTGAGTCAAGCCTCTTTTTCTCTGCCAAAACAGGGCATATTTGAGATAGAATTCCTACTTGGTTTGGAAGCAGCGTGAAGTCTTCACGATCGTCTTCGAACAGGAACGAGACAGGTTCGGGAGTCTTCTGGTGTGGCTAAACAGTGACGAACAACACCGACTTGCACTTCCGAAGTAACAAAACGCGGTATCTCGTGTATCCGAAATGGTGATTCACAGGGATTGTTCTCCGGCGACGGTGAACAGATGATGGAAGAAGGGGAAGAGATTTGCCGGAATTCCTCCGCGTAAGTAGAGAAACCGAACGCTCTCTTCTCCAAGAAACCCTTCTTCCCCGGCGATTTTTTTTCTGATTGATTCTCCCTCCTGCCAACTCTTTCTCCCTCGGTTTTTTTTATCCTCTCCGGCTCCAGAATCTTTTTCTGCTCTCTCCAACCGACTGGCCAGCTCATCTATTCTTCTAGAACCTCCATCGGAATTTCTTTGGTCACCTTTGGTTCGCTCACGGACGAAGGGCGTCCGTCGCCGTCCCTCTTCGGATTTTGCCAAAGAAACGGAGACTTGGACGATGGATGAAAATTCGGGTGTCAACACTGCTGCCCTTATATTTGATGTATCTCAGTTGGAACCATATTCAAGCTGCTGCAGCAAAAAGTTGATTCTGATTTGGGATTGGCCTTAAGTAGACATGGCCACGGTTCAGGAACCGGCGGTTCCGGTTCGTGGCCATGTATGAACCGGAACCGGAACTGTAAGGGGGCGGTTCCGGGCCGGTTCCGGCCGATTCCGACTCGAGGGGGGAGGAGGAGAAAAGGGGAGGAGGCGCAGGGTAGCGAGGGGGGAGGAGGAGGGGACGTCGGCGTTGGCGGCTGCGGCCATGGGCGGGGGCGACGGCGGCGAGGGTCAGATCTGGGAAGACGGGGGGCGGGCGGAGGAGAAAAGGAGAGGACTGGAGGAGGCGCAGCGGAGAGGGGGGAAGGAGGGATTTGGAGGAGGACTAGAGGAGGTGGGCGTGAGTGAGGGTGGGAACGTGGGGGCCTCGAGGCCTGCGCGGCGGCGCCGCCTTGCCCGCTCTCCAGGCTGATGGCCGGGCCGGTCGCCGCGGAGTACGAGGGCCTCCTCGGATTCGCCATCGACGGACTCTAGACGGCGTTCAATCTCGCGGCTGCGGCGGCGACATGGGAGTGCTCGGCTTTGGCGAGCGAGGCTTCAGTGACTGGTGCGGAGTTGCAAGTGCGAGCAGAAGAAGAAGAAGAAGAAGTGGCTGTTTCGGCGGAGGAGGAAGAGGTTCTTCTTTTAGGTCTGCAGCAGTTTTTTTTTTTTCTTTTGGAACTGGACCCGAAATCGCCGGTTCTTGGCCGGTTCCAAAATTATTGGAACAGGAATTGGGCCCGTAGCCACGGGCCGGTTCCGGTTCCGAACTGCAGGCCCAGTCAATGGGCCGGTCCCGGGTTTGACCCGGGCCGGTTCCGGGCCAAAACCGGCCCGTGGCCATGTCTAGCCTTAAGTTCTCACTGGCGGGCCAGTTTTGCCGAGAGTGAATTGGGGTGTTCTAGGCCTTTGATTCTGACTAGTCCATAAAGTGTCTTACTGTTTACTTTAAGCATCGGATGCCGATGATCCAGG